GCCCTCCTTTCGGAGAGGGGGCGAATTGGTTGTCCTACAGTTCGGACTTCCATCATGATTCTGAATCTAATCTCACAAAGTGCAATGCGAGATTGATAAACACCAAAGAGTCCAAATCTGGCAATTGGTTTTGGAAATCAATTTTGAATGAAAAAAATACCAAACATGGGCTGCTTTGCCAGATTACAGAGTCGCCACCTAAATATTTTATTTTTTAGAAATTTAGGAAACCCTGACTTATGCCAAAGGCTACGTGTTCGTCATCACCAAAGTTGCCTTGGCTCAGGAGCTTGAGTACGAGAGGGGAAGGTCCTGAAATGAGCACCCCCGTTCGCCTGATCAAAGATCAGCCTCTACTAAGCATGGTATGTTGTTTTATAAACACATGTATTCTTATTCCAGTTATTAATCTAACTTACTATGTGATGTGCGCAACATACAAGTATAGACTAAATCACGAGAATTAGAAAAAAACAACTCATGTTTGTTTTTGAAAATGGTTTGAAAGTGCTATTCGCAAGTAGGCTAAAGCGCGGATTTGCCACCCTCAAGTGGGTTAAAACATGATTTTGCCACCTCGCAAAGTGAGCTTAAAACTCACAATCATCGCTTTCTTCCAATTCAGGCAATCAAGCCTTCATCCACAGGCATTGATGCAGTTAAACACTTAAGCAAATAGCCTCATGGCAAGCATGCTATCATGGCAACACTCACACTCATGCAAGTATGCTAAAGCGTAAACACTTCCAGTGTACTTCGAGCCAAAACAGAAAACTAGTTAGAAATCACGCATGATCGTAGCTATGTTAAGATGCCTAATGCAATGCATGCAAAAATACAACTAAGTAGGCTCGGCTAACTGAGATGGCATATGAATGTAACAATTTGATACATGTATTCAAATAGGTATTAAAATACGATACAGTTTGAATGATGCACTGAGCCCAGTGCATGCAATACAAATGAATGATGCAAACATGCAAGCATAAGGTATGCTAATCAAAACATGCCTAACCTAACCATTGAAAGTGGTTAAATAAAAGGGAGAAAGAAGTGGGGTTGGAAGACATGCACACACGCATGCACCCTCATTACAACATTGTGCCCTCTCGACGGAGGGTCCAAATAAATAAGCTAAGCTACACTGAGCTAACTAATCTAATCAAACTAATTAGACTAATTATTACAAACCAATAAAGAAATAGCCAAACAAAGCTACTTAATTATTACAAGACTTTAACTGATTAACAAATTAATTAAATTACAAAACCAAGCTAACTAACAAGTAAAGCTTTAAACCCAGCTGCCTCAGCTCTACTTGAAAGGTAAACATGCATGCTTCGGTCTCCGTCCCTAAAAGCTCTCCGGTTAGCTCTTGAGAGGCTCTGTTTGCAAGGTTTTTCCAAGAACTTGCTGCTAAACCTTACCAAAACAATGCTGGGGAGTACACCAATGGCCTGCCGGCCATGGGGGCTTGCTACCAGCCACCTGCTGACCAACGGTGTGCTCTATCGGCCAATGATGAATCAGTGCCAGCCATTAGTGGGGCACTGCTGGCCACTGGTGTGCTGCATCACCATTCTACAACAGAGCTCAAACCAAAGGAAAAGAGAGGGTCTCCCAAGGGTATGTGTGTACTGTACCACTCCTTATCATCTTAAAGCATCAAAGGAGAGGTACCATTGGATCCAAAACCATCAATCAAGCATGCAATGCATGATGGCCAAGGATCCAACTTGCACAATTTCAATAAATGCATGACAAACAAGACTCTTGGACCACTACCTTATCATGGATAATCAAAGGCAATGGAGACAAAGAGGATTGGCCCATTTTCATCACTTCAACTATGAAATGAACCAATCTTCCTTGTGTTCAATGTAACGTCCAATTGAACACAATTCAATGCACACATAACATGTTTATCTTGACATGTTTTACTTGATTCAACTCTTGTTTACACATTTTAGCTTACCAAACCATTCTTTAATCGATTAGTCCAATGTGAAAGTCCTCTAATAAGAGGGGCCAACCAAAAGGGTGGTTTAAGGCATGGGAGGAATTATGCCTTTGACTGGGAAGAACCCTCAAAGAGGGTTAAAGCCATTTAAGCATAAACCCTTCCCCATGTTTAAGCACAAACTTGAGGCCAAACAACCGTCAAAACAAATTGAAAAATGAAGAAATGGGGGAGGTTGCAGACGTTTTTTAATGTTGAAATGGCGTGAGAAATAACATCACAACATGCAAGCAACACATGCACAACATGTCAAGAGCCAAAACGATGAAACTAGTGAAGGACACAACACTAGAAGCATGCAATGCAATGCTCAAATGATCAAACTAGCCCAAAACAGAGCTATACCATGCCAAAATAGTGGCCTAATCATGCTGAAACTAAGGCACAAAAGGCAAGAAAAACATGCTTGCATGTCGGCTCATAAACAAGGCATAACACACAACCTTCAAAAGCAATGAAGAAGTGGAATATGTGAGAATGTGACAAGGCTACATGCACTGAAATCATGTGTGAAAAGATGCCAAAACATGCAAACAACTCAAGCATATCATGTTAAAGATCTTTGAAACTCAAAGCCAGTCAAAGCCATTTACATTATAGCTATACAACATAAGCCTCATATCATCAAGACCACTCAAAACAGAGCTTAAGCATGTTAAAGCAAGGCCAAAAACATTCTAGAGTGGAGTCAACACATGCTAGAATAATAGGATAATACATCAAGTATGTTAAGCTAGCATGCATGATTGCACTACAAGTATAAGAAGCAAGTAAGAGGTGACTCAACCAGCCCAAAAAAGGGCTATAACATGCCAGAAAAGTCACAAAAACATGCTGAGATAGAGCCTCAAAGAGGTAGAAAAACATGCGCAAATACTATGCAATCAACACATGCAAATAAGATATGAGGAGGGGGGGACCACCCCCTCCTATTTTGATCCACAAAAACCAACTTTTTACCACTGAAATTTCTCTTAGTTTCAGTGGTTAAAAGACCAAGAAGAGAAGGTCTCAAAAGCCTAGGAAGTTGGCTCAAAAGGCTTTACAAGCCAAAGAGCCAAGGGAGGTAACCACCCCCTAACCACACAAGGCTCAAACCAACAATTTAAGACCTTAAAAATAGAACTTTTTTGAGGCTAAAACCAGCTTTGAAGTAGCATACAAAGATGGCAAAGCAATGAACTAAAACAAAGCTTAAAGGAGGGAAATTCTTACCCTTGAAGCACAACACCAAAACAGCAAGCAAACAGCCAAACTTCTGAGCCAAAACCACTCCAAGGAACTCAAACAAGGCCTCCAAGAGCTTTAACTCTAAGGTAGAGGTGTTTGGCTAAGGGTGCTAGTGCAAATATGTAGAGAAAATACACTTTCAAGCACAAAATATAGAGAGAGAGTATTCTAGAGAGAGAGAGGGAGAGATATAGCTCAACTTCAACTTTGTAACCTTTTGCATGCATATAGATGAGCTCTATATATAGGAGATACAAGGAGCCTTCAAACAAATCCAGCCCTCCACGTGCATGCAGATGAGCTCATCTGTGCAAACAGCTGTAAAAATATCTGCAAAATATCTACTATAGCATTGGTGGCCGGCCGGCCAGGCCATCAGTGGTGGCCGGCAATGGCCTCATTGATAGCCGGCAGGGCAAAGCCCATGGCTGGCAGCCCTCAACGATGGCCGGCAGGCTATCAAGGACATCACTAAGCAAAGACCAACACATGGTCCAAAAATGAGACTGAATGGAAATAGGGTCTGGAAGGATCAAACCCGGGGTATTCCGTCGTGAAAGTCGAGCACTCAACGAGCAATCAAACTTGTCGCTGGATGTACCTATAAGAACATCCGAATCTTGAGGACGGTAAAAAATGAGGTGTCTATAGTTGCCTCTCTTTGACAGAACTCGAAAGTCATGAAATGACGGGAGTGAATGTCAAAGCCCAGAGACGACCCATTTTTGACATGGCCGAAGACTCGGATAAATAATCAAGATAACAATATAGATGCGCCCGCAGGCAGGGGCAAAATGCAAATGACATGCACAACGCAGAACATAACTTATGATTATGCAAAGAGGGCTGTAATGAAGTATTTAAGCAAAATAAATACAACATTTTAAGCAAACCGACAAGTTACAGCAGTCTCACACACTTCAATAGAAAAGATGTAAGAAAATGATGCAATCTTCACTACGCCTCACGCAGGAAAGGCCAAAAGCGACTGTTGGGAAAACCCAAAGTCTCAAACGAAACACCTCTTAGCGTATCACATGTAAGAGAGGGAAGGTAAACAACTTTCAGCACATCACAGGCGAGAGAGGGAAACGCAGCACCTCTCAGCATATCACATGCGAGAGAGGAAAATGCAACACCTCTCAGCGTATCACACGCGAGGAAAAGAAAACACTTCTCAGCGTATCACACGTGAGAGAGGGAAAGGAAGCACCTCTCAGTGTATCACACATGAAAGAGGGAAAGGCAACACCTCTCAGTGTATCACACGCGAGAGAGGGAAAGGCAACACCTTTCAGCGTATCACACGCGAGAGTGAGAAAGATAGCACCTCTCAGCGTATCACACGCGAGAGTAGGAAAGGCAGCACCTCTCAGCGTATCACACGCGAGAGAGGGAAATGAAGCACTTCTTAGCGTATCACACGCGAGAGAGAGAAATGAAGCACCTCTCAGCATATCACACGCGAGAGTGGGAAAGGCAGCACCTCTCAGCGTATCACACGTGAGAGAGGGAAATGAAGCACTTCTCAACGTATCACACGCGAGAGAGGGAAATGCAGCACCTCTCAACGTATCACACACGAGAGAGGGAAATGAAGCACCTCTCAGCGTATCACACGCGAGAGAGGGAAATGAAGCACCTCTCAGCATATCACACGCGAGAGAGGGAAATGCAGTACCTCTCAGCGTATCACACGCGAGAGAGGGAAAGGGCGACCTCTCAGCGTATCACACGCGAGAGAGGGAAATGCAACACCTCTCAACGTATCACACACGAGAGAGGGAAAGGCAACACCTCTCAGCGTATCACACGCGAGAGAGGGAAAAGCAGCACCTCTCAGCGTATCACACGCGAGAGAGGGAAGGTACACAAACATCGGGCATATGACCCAAATGCTTTCAACAAGGTGCCAGTGTAAACACCGGGCATACCCGGGTGTTTCTAACCAACGAAATGAGGGAGAGGAATGGTTTTACCTGGGATTCCTCTGAATGAACCGTACATATAATATTGTGCATGTAAAGAAAGAAACTTGATAGGTATGATGCAATATAATGCATGTCTGACGCGAGACGAATGATCATAACATGATGTTGAGGCACTCTCGAAGCAGAACATGCAAGAAATAGAGCATGTTCTATGCAAGATAATCAATGATGCATATTCAATGCAAGATAATCAATGATGCATATTCAATGCAAGCATGGTAATGCATGCTCTATGCGACAACTCAGAATGCATGTTCCATGCATCGTGCAAAAGCAATGGACACTCTATGCAATGACTAAAGCATGTGTGGCAAAGACAACTCAAAAGGGCAACTCCCGATTTACTTCTCGGAGAGTTGCGATATGTTAAAAAAGGATACACCTTATGTGTGTTGAAGGGTGATGATCACCGCGCACGGAGAACACAATTCTGGGCTTCCGCGGAGGCATTCTGAATCAAACTTTGAGCATACCTTGCATTTCTTGGAACCCAAGGACACATATCAAGGTAAAAGAGGCAGGGAGAGCTAGTGGAGGCCTGCCGGTCATCAAGGGAAGCTATTGGCCCCATGCCGGCCATCAGTGGAACGTGCCGGCCAACAATAAAGGGGTGTCGGCCATCAATGTGCCACTGCCGGCCATCGATGGCAGATTGGTCTTTTCAGCCGTGGCTCTTTAAGTACAAGCAAAATCACTTCATTTCCACACAAAACCTTGCACGAAATTTCCTTCCCTTGCTTTCTAGGTTCTCGTTCTCTTGAGATTCACGCATTCTACGCGTTTTCTAACACCGTAAAACCATTTTCTTCGCGAAAACTCTCTAGTTCCCTTTACTTTGAATCGATCAGAATTTGATTTCGACACTTCATTCGTCATTTCCACCGTTCAAGGCTCATTCCCCTCGAGTTTCTTCCAAGGTTAGTACACTTTCCCGGGTTTTGATTTCTCTTTGACTTTACCTCTCTCCTAGGGTTTGACTTGTTCAAAGTTTCACCATTTCCTGCATTTATCCTCATTTTTGCTCATTTTTCATCTATTTTAGATGGCAGATGATGTCCCACATGACGGGGGCTTCCCCGCACTTCCTCTGGTAGAGTTTACAGCGGACTTTAAGGTCGAGCCAGAGGCCGAGCCTGAGCCATTACCGCCGAGCATACGCCCTTTTGATCTGGCGAGGTATCACCCCGAGACTTACATTATACCCACTGCGGGAGGCATCAAAGCCTTCACCGACTTTGCTGAGGACGTGCTAGACAACCTCCTACTGAGAGAGCGTGCGTCTCACTTATCGACCATTGCCGTGGAGGTACGAACTCCGCTTTTCTACAGTACTAATTTCAGCTATTTGCATTTCTTGTACTGTTTTAATCTGATTGCATCACATGCCTTGATTTGACTGTATTTCATACATCACTGCTTCGCATTCACTGTACGTTCAACTATACTTTCAACTGTACTTGATTTGATTGCATCTCATGCATTACTACAGGACGGATCCTGCTCCTACAGAGGCTATGGCACGACGATAGCCTGGGACTAGTAAGATAAGCGGCCAACTAGGGTCCGAGACATCATTGACAAGACCGGCTTCGGTCTGTTTTGCAACAGCTTGACGCGGGTCGTAGCAAGCCACCCTCTCTTAGGGGCTCTCGTGGAGAGGTGGTGGGATACCACCAACTCCTTCCATTTCTCCATGACCGGGGAGATGACGATGACTCCCTACGACTTTTCCATGATCACGGGCTTAGGCGTGGGAGGTGATCCGATCCCTCTCGACCCTGACATGGAGGAGTGGGAGGCTGTATGGACCGCATTGCTCGGGGCACGCCCACCGATACTTCGAGCAAGCATGGTCAGATATAGTTGGTTCGAGGAGCAGTTTAGAGGAGAGGAGCCCAAGACAGCTGAGGAGACAGAGTAGTATGCTAGGGGCTTCCTCATGTTCCTCTTCGGTACCACCTTGTTTTTTAACAGGTGGAATACCGTCGGTCTATACTTTCTGAGCGCATTGGTAGTACTCCAAAGAGTTCAGTTCTACAACTAGGGCGGAGCCGGCCTCACTACTCTATATGGATACATGAGCTCGACCTCTCGAATGAGCGGGACCTTGATCGGCGACTACTGGCGGGTTTGAGAGGTACACAACTGAGTTCCCCATTTTCACTTTACATTTTCTACTTATCATTTCCTGCTTTACATTCTCTGTATCTGCATGCTTTCTGCCTTGCATTCATACTTTCTACTCTGCATTTCCTGTGTCTACTCATACACTGTATTGATTACATTTTCCCTGCAGTTGTGGGTATACGCATACTTCCCAGCTCTTGCTCCAGAGCCCGTAGAAGGGACCCCAGTGACAGTCCTGTTCTCTCGGGTATACGATGGCCAGCTCCGTCGTAGGACCCAGGAGAACTTCATCTTCTTCTGATAATACTTCGACACAGTGGCAGCGCACGAGGTAACCCAAAACCAAGCTGTCTCGCTTTTCAATCAATCTTGATAGACTGATTAACCAATTGAGGGCGACTGATCATTTGTTCATTCTCTCATTTCAGATCACATGGCAGCCGTGGGATGTGACACCCTCGGGGTTCAAATTCCCGTATGAGACAGCTAGGGTCGTTGCTCGCTACCATATTCTCCTCGAGGGTTCGATCTGCCATGCTTCGTTCTTGAGCGAGCATTTTGCGCGCCAGACCTTATGACTACCCGCCCCGTTCGTATCGACGGCACCCCTAGTATCGATGAGAGAGATACACAGACTTTCTGCTGAGGAGGTGATCCAGTTTATGGTAGGACTGGAGACAGAGTACTTCCATACAGAGGGCGACTAGGCAACCTTCATCCAGACTCATCTGATGCCGCCTTTGACCGGCGTTCGCGGGGGTGAGGGAGTGAGAGCTCCAACTGTGAGAGAGAAAGGCAAAGCAGCCAGAGCGACTAGGTCTGGTAGGAGGAGAGATTCTAGGGAGAGGCAGAGAGCGGGATGGCCAGAGCTGGCTACCTCAATGACTTATCGGAGACGTTCTGGGGAGACTTGCCAGATCCCTATTGAGCCTGCACCAGCTGGTCATGCACTTGTCGGAGTTCGAGGCCCGATCCCAGTATGCACCAAACTTTACATTTTGCATATTTACTTCATTTCAATTATGCTTTATAGAATACTGATCTATTCAATGCATTTGCAGGCACCCATAGAGTACACAGGGCAGGCCCTTGAGCTAGTGGCTTCCTTGACAGAGATGGTACAGACGAGCCTGGATCTGCTCAGCCTCTACAGGATCCCGGTAACTTCTTTAACCTTGCACTTCATATCACACGGTTTCTCTGATGACATATTAGCACTTCAGCTCTTCCATACTACACTGATCTTATACATTGCACTAGAACACCGCATTAATACACTGTTCCCATATACTGCCCACGACACACATACACTGTAATCATTTACTGCCCATTGCACATTATCTTTTGCATCTAATATACATCACAACTCTAGCACATCTTAACAAGCTGCCCTTTTCAGATTCCTTTCAAGATGTCAGCCCTATCGGGTGCCCCAGCAGGAGCAGTGGCAGGACCTTCAGTTCTTCCCCCAATAGCAGAGAGGAGAGGGAGACAGGCTCAGGCATGTAGCCGAGGCAGAGCTATAGGCATCCACGGCGAGAGTGGCCCTTAAGAACCCATTCTGGGTGATGATGATGACGAGACGAGCGAGGAGGCTGAGGTAGCGAGTCCACAGTCCGAGTCATTTGATGGAGGAGGCGCTGACTCCGACTCGGATTCTACTGGTGGTGAGGCTGGAGAGGCTGAGGAGGGTTCCAGAGTTCAGGCTCTAATCCAGCTTCAGACAACGGTGCTGATGGTGATAGTGCTTCGAAGGCTGCTCGGCCGAGGAAGAGGACAAAAAGGGCCTCTCGATCTTGAGCTAGTCGGCACCGATCTAGATGATTTTTTTTCTTTATTTTCCTTTTTGCTAGTAGTATTAGCACATTGTACAGCCTTAGGCAGTTTTATTTTCTTTAAAACTTGTACTCTCTTGCAAAAACAAACCATGATTGGAATGGAAACAACATTTTGTTTAAAAAAGTGTTGCATTTTACATTCTACGCATCGCATAACATCGCACAACATGCAAATGAGATTGATCTTTGTTTGAAAAATGCACATTCAAATTGCATTGCTCTTAATCAGGTAGTGAACTGACTAACAACCGAAAAAACAAAACAACTCGATAAACAACATGCATACAACTCGATAAGCAAATCGCAACTACTCGAAAAGCAAAATGTATACAACTCGATAAGCAAAGTGCACCAACTCGGTAACAACATACATACAATTCGATAACCAAAACCAAGCGGTTATAACTTATACAAACATGCCTAAGCCCGTTTAAGCCGCAAAAGACCGAAACAAGACCCCGAAAGGTGCCGATAGCAGGATACAACTGCTGGAAACCATTGAATCTTCACACAGGAGATTAGTGTGCATGAAGGGGAGGCTGCCGGCCATGGGGAATGGCCTGCCAGCCATCACCTTCTTTTGCCAGCCATTGATGAGCCCCTGCCGACCATCAATAAGCAAGTGCCGGCCATCGATGTATAGAATCTCCGAAACGTTGACACCTGTCCTCCACTCACTTTCTTATCTTCTTTAAAGGTTCCAGCTTCGTGGTCTCTTCATTTCAGCTCCATTTTTGCCCCAAATGGAACCAATCTTTGCCAAAAAACTCTCCAATTGGATTACAACTTTGGACGGCTCAGAAAAATTGAATTTTCGGGGTTTCGGGCTAAACGCACTATTCCCGCTGCCGTACTTCATTGTATTTTCCATTCCTCCATGCCGCGGCTAGATGTTGGAATCCGGTTACACACGTGTTTAGCTTTGGCAGACAAGAGCTGTGCCCCACAATCGAAGAATTTCAAGCTTTGATGGAGTCTCGGCGCGACGAGGAGATCTTGTCCCAGGCTCGTTTTGGACACATCCAGGCTTTGGGAAGGATGTGCGGGCTGACTTTGCATGATGCTCGGTCTTTGGTTCACAATGGAGAGTTGGGCATCCCCAGCTTGATTAATCGGTTTTCTAACGCCGGTGACCATGGCGACCACTTTTGGCAAAGTTTCTGGCAGCACGCCCTCTGCTTGTGTATGTTAGCCCATTTTCTGCATGCCTCTGGCCTCAGTGGGTCTAGCACCCGCTTGATTGAAGTTGCCCAAGGCTTGAAAGAGGGAAAAAGCTGCATCGGCATGACACCAGTTGAAACTTTGATGGGCTTGGATGCTTTCCACAGCCAGGAGACAACCAAGTTTGTAGGGAGTCCACTACTGTTGCAGGTAATGTTTCCTACCCTGCCCACATGTGTATCTCACATCACTCGACCCTCTGGCTCTGTTTTTCTCTCAAAATCCTTTTTTCACTTTTTCTCTCCTCGTACACCTCCCTATTCTTTAATCTTTCTTCTTTTTTATCCCTCCCCAGGTATGGCTGATGGATAGGTTGAAAGTGATGGACTCTTGTCCCGCATACTCAGCACGCAGCTATTTCTTTCGCCCTCGACTAGTTGAGTTTCCGAATGAGGGATGGTGGAGCCACTGGATGTGCAACAGGTCTGCTGTTGATATTGCTTGGCGCTGCCTCCGGTTTGATCTGCCGGAGATGAGCTACAGCATGTCCTGGCAGCCTGGTATTCAGTTGGTTGGCTTGACACACTGTGTTTTCTACTTCCCGTTCCGATTTAGGCTTCAGTTCGGCCAAGACCAGACTTGCCCGGAAGAGGGGATAGAGTGCCTAGCTTCATTTCTAATCCGAGGCTCACAGCTAGCTCGGTATGCCACAACATGGAGAACAAGAGAACTTCTGGCCCCCGCTTCCACTTTCAGTCGTACCTTTTCTGACGAATGCATTGCTTGGCTTGTAGATGAGGCACCAATCAGTCCTACTTTGGCATCCGAAGCTTCCACAAGCACTGGGAGGGGGACGCAGGAACACCTGACTATACCTAGAGTTTATTGCTTTAATCTGTACTTTCAAGTTTTCTTTTTGAATGTAATAAAAAACAACTTCGATTTGTATCAAGAGATGAAGAACTTTGTATTGAAATCAATGAAATTGAAGGTTGTGGGTATTGAAAATTTTTCGTTTGGTCCAAAAATGGTCTAAGTTGTAAAAAGATTAATTTGAGCAAAATCAACTTTTATTGAAATTTTTTAAAACCATTTTCAATATGGATCACAACTGGACACGCCCGAGATCTATCACTAAGATGTACAACCCCGGATCCAACAACTGCAAAGTTGCCCCTAGTCTGAATAGCACTGCACTGGAGATCATAACCGAGCTCTTGAATGCAGAATGGACAAAGATGACCAAAATGATCACATGGACAAAGTTGATTTGGAAGTGTTTATGGCTGGACTTCAGAAAGAAGTTGTGTACGTATCCCAAAGATGGGAATCAAGCCTTACGTAGTTCGGTTCAGGTTCACTCGTGTATTAACACTCTCCTTTTGCGCTATAACTTTTGCCAAGATCGCCCTTTCTGGGTTTTCAACTTTGCGAGCTCAGTTTTTCTTATTTCAAATTTTCTGTGCTCTAACTTTTGCCTAGGTCGCCCTTTCGGGTTTTCGGCCTAACGAACCACTTAGGGATAGTGTTTCTTCAACTTGTCCATGTTGATTGGCTGGGAGAACTCTAGGCCATCTAGGTCCATAAGAACGATAGCTCCACTCAACCAGATAGACTTGATGATGTAGGGACCAGTCCAATTAGGTCTGAACTTGCCCCTAGGGTCGTGGATGGGAGCTTGGTTGTCTTTAAGCACCAAATCCCCTTCCTTCAAATTTCTGGATTTAACCTTCTTGTTGAAAGCCATGGCAATTCTTCGTTGATAACCTTGGACGTGATATAGTGCTTTCAGCCTTCTCTCGTCGAACAACATGAGTTCTTCAAATCTGCTTTGCTATCAATCTGCCTCAGCTATCTGGCACTCAGCCATTACCCACAGTGACGGAATCTTAACTTCAATAGGCAGAACAGCCTCCATCCCATAAACCAAGGAATACAAAGTTGCCCCAGTAGAAGTTCAAATTGACGTCCGGTAGCCCCAAAGAGCAAATGGTAGCTTATCTGGCCAATCCCTGTAGGTTTCCACCATCTTTTGTAGAATATGCTTGATGTTCTTGTTGGCTGCCACAACAGCTCCGTTGGTTTGCAGCCAATATGTGGATGACTTGTGAAAAGACACGTATTTCTCCAACAAGTCGATCACCTCTTTCTTGAAGTGGGAACCATTATCCGAAACAATCTCATTCGGGACCCCATAGCGACAGATAATGTTGTTCCTGATGAACTTAGCAACATGTGACGCTTTCAGCACTGCATAAGATTGGGCCTCAACCCACTTTGTAAAGTAGTCTATAGCCACTAGAATGTACTCATGCCCGTTTAACCCCTTCGGAGTAATTGCCCCAATCACATCAATCCCCCAGACTGAAAAAGGCCATGGCGAAGTCATGTTGTACAGCTTCGACGGCGGAATGTTCATGCGGTTTGCATGGATCTGGCATTTGTGGCATCGCCAAACAAAGGCAATACAATCCTCCTTCGTGGTTGACCAGTAATAACCCTGCCTGAGAATTTTTCGAGCCAGCATTACCCTACTCATATGCGCTACGCACTCTCCTCTATGGATGGCCTCCATCAGGCACTTGGATTTTTCAGCATCAGCACACAGTTTGTGTATCCCAAGATGACCCCGTTTGTACAGTTTACCCCCACAGACGATAAACTGTGCAGCCATTCTTCGAATTATCCTCTTATCTTTGGCATTTGCCCCTGGCGGATAAGCCTCCTTTTCCAAGAAGTTCCAAATGTCATGATACCAGGGGTTTTGATCTTGTACTTCATCTATGGCGGCAATCAGCTCGTAGGTCGGCACATATCTCTGTTTAATGATGATTGGACGCATCTGGACTCCCAAAGGGATGTCTATCATAGAAGATAGAGTTGATAAAGCGTCTGCGAACCTGTTGCTCTCTCTCAATAGATGGGTGAAGGTTAACTTCTCAAACCAGGAATTAGCACGTCCAGAGTTTGGTGATAAATTTTCATCCTTTCTTCCTTCACCTTCCAGTTTTCTTTCGCCTGAGACAAAACCAGGTTCGATTCCCTAATGATGTCCAACCTTTTTGACCCTAGTTCCAGGGCGGCTTCTAAGCCAACGATACATGCCTCATACTCACCTTCGTTGTTTGATACTTTGAACCGGAGTTTGAAAGCTAAAGGTATGTGGGAATTGTCGAGTGCTATCAGCAACACCCCTATCCCATACCCGTACTGATTAGACGGTCTGTCAAAGTACATAGTCCAAACCTCTTCTTCCAGCTGCAGAATGGCCTCGTCCGGGAACAGATACTCTACTGCTTCATTTCTCTCTACTGGGTGATCGGCTAGAAACTCTGCTACCACTCTACCTTTCACAGACTTGCGCGTCATGTACTTCAGATCAAATTTCAAGAGGAGAAGCAACCAACGAGCTAGCCTACCAGTACATGCTGATTTCTCGAAGAGATATTTGATGGGATCTAATCTCGAAACCAGAATTACGGAGTGAGCTAACAGGTAGTGCCTCAACTTCCTAGTAGCCCATACCAAGGCCAAACAAGCCTTCTCCAGTGGCGTGTAGCGAGTCTCATATTCCATCATTTTCTTGCTCAGGTAGTAGATAGCCTTCTCCACTTTATCCTCAGATTCCTGCGTAAGCATGCAGCCCATTGTCGTGTCGGTCACTGATAGATACAGAATCAACGATTTTCCCGGCTCTAGCGGTGACAACACATGTGGGTTCTGTAGATACTTCTTGATCTGTTCGAAAGCAACTTGACATCGGTCATCCCATTGAAACTTCTTTCCTTTCTTCAGGAGACCAAACAGTGATTCACAAGTCAAGGTTAATTTTTGCAATAAACCACCTTATGAATTGCACTTTACTCAGAAAGCCGCGCACCTCCTTTTCAGTCCT